GGTCAACTACAGAGATGTGTGCGTGGCCCTCGGACAAATGAATTCCGATGCGCAAATGGTCGGCGAATTCGCAGGCATAGTAACAGCCATTGGCCCAGATATGAGGGACTCGTTTCAGGTGGGAGACAGGGTCATGGGCTTTGGTGCTCAGCCATATAGCAACCTGTCACGTGTCAACGGATACCATGCCCACAAGACGCCCAACTGGATGAGTAACACTACAGCAGCATCAATACCCTACGCATATGTGACTGCGTACCAATGTATTAGGAACCTGGCCAACCTCGACAAAGGACAATCCGTTCTCATCCATTCTGCATCCGGAGCGGTTGGGCAAGCGGCAATTCAACTTGCCCAGTCCATTGAAGCAGAGATCTTCTGTATGGTCGGAAACCGCGAGAAACGGCAATTTCTCATAGATACTTACGGCATCCCAGAGAGTCACATCTATTCTAGCCGGTCAGGTTCAGTTAAACAGAGTATCATGCGTCTTACAGGCGGGGAGGGTGTGGATCTTGTGCTGAGCACATCAACGGGAGAGATGCTTAGAGAGAGCCTTGACTGCGTTAAAAGTTTGGGCGTCTTTATTGATCTGGTGAAGACTGAGATGCAAAAAGCCTCTCTTTTGAGCATGGCTGCATTCGAAAAGTCAATCACGTTCCATGCCTTTGATCTGATAACCCTGGCTACACGAAAGGCTGACCAGATATACCGCGTTCTTGGTGAAATCGTCAAACTCATTGGGTCAGGGGCACTTTGTCCGATGGAACCAGCCAAGGTGTATCCCATCGAGCAGGTCGAGGATGCTTTCCGCCTTGTGAGTGCGAGAAAGCACATAGGAAAAGTTGTTCTCGTGACACAGCCCACTTCCAGAGTCAAATGTCTACCAGCGCAACCAACACCTCTGCGACTCCGGAAAGACGGAACTTACATCGTGGCGGGAGGTCTTGGCGATCTCCCCTCACGGATATGTCACTTTTTCGCTGCCCGTGGAGCCGGACATATTGTCTCCCTCTCTCGGCGCACCATCGACGATGAGACGAGACGTAAGCATATGGCAGCAGTGGAAGCGCATGGTGGTCAGCTCCACCTACTGAAATGTGACATCACCGATGAGGAGCAGATGAGGAATGCTGTCTCATTTTGCAGGGCGCTGCCTCCAGTCAGAGGCGTTGTGCAGGGCGCTTTGGCTCTGAGGGTAGGTTGCTGTTATCCACATGGACCAATGCAATATTCTGACACTTTCTAGGATCGAACCTTTTCCCAAATGACTGTCGATGAGTGGAAACAGCCACTTCAGCCCAAAATTGTTGGAACCATCAATCTAGACAAGTATTTCGCCAGCCCGGACTTGGCCTTCTTCGTGGCACTGTCATCTATTGTGTCAGTGATTGGCAAGTCTGGCCAGTCAAACTACGCAGCTGGCAATGGCTTCCAAGATGCCTTTGCACGTGCTCATGCCAATCACCCGCATACTCAGTATGTCTCCCTCAACATCGGCGCTGTCTCCATTGATGCCCACGGCGCTTTGGAGGCATCCCAGAATGAGACCACAATTAGCACTATCAGGGCAAGTCTCCGACAAAACAGTGTCATGGATATCTCCTTCGACGAGTTCTTTGCAAACTTCGAATACCTCATGACAGATCTTGCTCAAAGGGATGGCCTACACCAATCAATTCAGGGAGTAACACGTCTGTCAATGATGGAAGCCAACGACGAGTATCTGCTCGATAATCCCGTTTTCAACCAATTACAACATACACTGGAGCAAAAGACCACTGGCGCCGCCAAAAGCGACAAGATCGACTTTGTAGAGGCACTGGCTGGTGTCAAGACCATGGTCGAGGCCGAGCAGCTGATCCAAGACGCTGCACTCGCCAAGTTTGCTGTCTTCCTCGACCGACCGATAGAAGAGATTCGGGTCAATCAGTCTTTAGCTACAATCGGACTGGATTCTCTCGTCAGTATTGAGTTGAAGAATTGGATGGTGCGCACATTCCAGGTTAATCTGCAGACATCAGAATTGAGCGGCGCCGGCAGCATCACAGCCCTCACGGCCACAGTTGCTTCGCGATCTAAATTGATTCCTGATGAGATCAGGCAATCAGGACCGAAAGAAATTGGCACTGCCACAGAAGAATCGTCTTTATCGACCGGCGAGCAGGCTCAGACTAATCACGGCTTCTATTGTTGCCGGACTTGCAAAGAGTTACCCAGGTACCCGCTCGTCGACCTCGACGAGGCCGTCAAGGATCTTCTCAACAGCGTCGGCCATTTCGCTCACACCCGAGAGGAGTACACAGAGCTCAGCCGCAAAGCCCATGCCCTAGCAGCACCAGATAGTCTTGGTCGCAGACTCTACAATAAACTGCGTGCCCAGGCTGATGATCCCAACGTCGAGAGTTGGATCGCCGACTTACTTCTTAAGGCCTTGCATCTCAAGCGTCGATACCCACTCGCGCCCTTTGGAAATTTCTTGGGTACTCACTTTGATAGCCCGACAGTCCACACCCAGGCGGAGCGAGCGGCTATACTGACTACAGCTTTGTGTGAATTCAAGGCCGACCGTGACGCTGGCAGGCTGGAGCCTGACTTTCTCGGTACCAGAGCTAACTGTGGGCACTCGTTATCCTGGCTTTTCAATGCCGTAAGAGAGCCAAATGTCGACTGTGACAAAATGATGAAGTACCCAGACAATGAGTACGTTGCCGTATTGCGAAGAGGGCATCTCTTCAAAGTCCCGCTGAAGCAGGCAGAGACCACAGTTTCATATGACACTCTGAAAGCAACGTACCAAGCAATTGTCGATTTGGACTTGGAAGACAGGTCTTGGGCTGGCATGCTGGCCACTGATAATCGCGATTCATGGGGTCTGGTAAGCGGCATTTTGGGCTTCAACTTGAGATTCAACTGACAGTCTTTTAGAATCGGCAGAGACTGCTCTCTTTGGACAGCAGGAATGCAGTTTATCTCGAAACCATAGAAGCTTCTGTATTCGTCCTGTGTCTTGATGACAATAGCCCCATCACGCGTGCAGACCGAGTCCGCTCGGGCTACATCGGGGACTCTTTCAACCGCTGGCACGACAAATGCACCCAGATTATTGTCACCGCCAATGGGCGCTCGGCAACCATCTTCGAGCACTCCATGATTGATCTCATGACGGTTTCTCAGCTTTCACAGAGACTCCAGAATGCTATCACCACTCTTGACCCTGGTAATGCCGCAGCAAGCGACGGTACCATTCCTGTTGATCTAGCCAGTCTCAAAGAGATCCCCTTGGTAACAACAGAAGACATTGATGGTCGCATTGACACTCTCCGCCAGGACTACCTTGCCATCACATCCACAAGACAATACGTCCCGCATCTCATTAATTCATTTGGCAAAACGCTCTTGCTCAGTCATTCCGCGCCCATCAAGGCGACCGTTGACCTAACAATCCAGCTAGCCAGTCGGCTGCATTTTGGCTACCTGCCAGCCAGTTGGGAGACCGTATCAACAGCGCATTTCCACCTTGGCCGTCCAGAGATTGTGCAGGTGGTTCTGAAGTCGGTGATGGATTTTTGCGACGCTGCTCTTGACGATGCTGTACCCCGAAGCGAGGCTCGTGCCAGACTTCTACAGGCGGCACGCGAGTGCAATGCGCAAATTGCCAAGGGGACCGAGGGCCGCAACTACTTCAGGCTGATGGATGTGATCGAGGTCATGTCGCAGGATCAGAAGGATGAAGAGATGCCCGAACTTTTCTCCGACCCTGTCTGGAAGAGGGGCTACCCGCAACTAATTATGCAAACGATGGTGGAAACAAAGCTAGCAGAAGATCCGGGCTTCACTATGCCGAACCCAGAGTCTGTATGGATGAATTATACAGTATTTGATAATTCGTGAGTCTCCCTAGTCCCAAGGCGATTGCTTTAAGCATGCATACTAACAACAATAGGCTTGAGGTATGCTTTGTCAGTCCGGTGAAGGGCGCGGAGCGTTTTGGAGCGGCCTTGGATTGTGCAGCAGAGCTTGTGAAGAACATTATTTCGGCATAGGATATATAGTATTTATCTCTTATAACTTCAAGAAATTCGCCTTTCTTACTACTACCTCTATATCCTAGAAGGATAGCGCGCGGCGTTGCGTCTTCTGCAAACGTCGAAGCTGCTCCCTGCGAAGAAGTGAGGATTCCTCATCAACCTCTTCATCGTTAGTGGGCAAGTGTCCTGAAACGTTCTCAGAGACTCCCCCTTCCAGTTGCTGTTCACCGAGTTTTGTATCAGGTGGAGGGTCATGGAAGGCTAAGCTGGTGCCCTGTACTCTTCTTCGCAGGCGACGTGCGTTACTGGTGATGTGCCCTCCGGCATTGTCATGGTAGTCTTCGGAATCACTGGATAGGTTTCCTGATAGACTTCCAATATCACCTTCCGGCTTGAGTTTCCTGGGGTTGCTGGAGTCTGCTAAGGGTTTGTTAAATTGACGACTCTAAAGTTGTGGTTGTATGGTTCGAACTCCGGAAGTAGAGTCAGAATCTCCTGGACCGACTGGCTCCGCTTCCAAGGGAGATGTTGCACTGTTAAGCTCCTCGTTTTCGTATTCGTCCCCTTCGCCCCCTCCAATACCAGCCAAGTAATTCAGCAGTGATGGTGACTTGGTCTGCCGCCTGCCTTTCTTGCGCATCCACTCAAACTGATGCTCACCCCTCCGGCTTGGCGTCTCCTCCAGCTGATTTTTGACCCGTTTCTCACGGATGCATTCGTGTGCTTCAACATCAGGCCTTGTTCACACTCGGGCACCCACCGCTTCACCAAGACGCAATCGGGGTCCGCGTCGAAGTCGAAGTCAACATTGAACGTCCGCAATGTCTCAAGAGATAGATGCCTGCGAGCAAAGCGTGTATCGATCGGCCGATCATTCTAGGCAACTGGGCCGGCTTCGTCGGAGGGATCAATGCGAAGCCGCTTTGACTCCTTGAATCCAATCGGGGCCTGCTCAACCTTCTTCGCGGACTACTCAAACTTGGCTTTGGTCTCCTCTTGGATGTTCTTCTTCAGCTCCTCAGCAGCCCCCTTTGCTGCGGCTTCAGCCTCCGCTGCCGCTTTGGCCGCCTTCCTCTCTTCTTCGAGCTTGGCCTTAGCCTCGGCCACTATCATGGCTTTGAGTTCTTCATCGAACTTCATTCGACCTGACTCGATTACAGGTTCACCATAAGAGATAGGAGAGGCGGCTGATGGCCTGGGAGCTTCGCCGTCTGGCGTCTCGCCAGCGGTGACGTCGCCTTCACCATCGTGTCCGACAGCCATAGCATGGGGGCCGCTTGATTACGATTGTTTATCTGTCTCGCCTGATTCTGGTTACTCATGAGGTTTGGAAGAAGCGTCCCAACTGTTGTCATCGGTCGAGATAGCTCCCAGCTCAGATGCTTCATCGTTCTGCTCATCACTTTCGACGTCATCCTCCAGTCCCTCATCTTCAATACTGGGAAGAGCGAATAGAGCCAACTGTTCAAGATGCCGCCCAGTGTGCTTGACGTATGACTTCAAGCCCGAAATAGCTTGTCTGCAAAGAGGGCATTCTTTAGTCACGTCACTTGAAACAGATACCTCGCCGCGAGCCACGACGGTGCTGAGATGCTCGTCGCTCGCGTTTGGTAGGTAGTGATGGCGAACGTGATCCCCGAGTTCGACCGCAGACGGGAACATGCTTCCGCACTTGAATGGACAAGACCATGTGCGCCAGTGATACTGGGAGATGTGAAGTTGCCACCGATGGCGTCGATCAAAGTCGGTGTTTGATTCGCACACCTTTCGAAGAGACACGTATACGGCCGGAGGTCTCCAAAGACGCGGCGCCTATTAGACGTGGTAGATATAAGCAGACTGGCGACAAAGTGGCACTTACTTCCATGCCCCTCGGGTACTGGCTGATATCATCCTGCAAGGGGCAGAATTTGATGGAATATAAAATAAATATACCAATCTGGATTAATGGATTAAATACACGTTATGTCTGACAATATGTAAGTAAATAGTGAAGTGAACAATTGAGCTTGGTATATATTATAGAAGAAAGTCTATATCGAAGAAGCTACTTGTACCCTGAGAGTAGTTTAAGCCTAACATGGTTTGCATTTCATCGGAATGTAGTAAAGGTCGTGCCTTGTCATGTCAGCGTGTTAAAGGAAAAGGTTTGAGTGGGACTTATCTTGTATATTGTCACTTCCATCAGTATCCGACTGATGAATTTGAAAGTACCTCCTCCATGTCCACAAAGAATCGTACACCACGCTCATACTTAGCCTATTCCTGACTTGTTTTAACTGCAAATCTATGAGCGTGACACCTCCGACAACTGCGGGATCGGGAAGGGCGCAAAAGAAGCCGATGACATCACCTAGACGAGCAGGTAGATCGTTATTCGCAACACTCATCTGCCGAAGGCCTGTGATGGAAGACTCAAGAAGTTGTTTACCAGCCTTGGCATCTACGATGGGGTTGAAAAACCCATTTGTAAGAATTTTGAGCAGCACGAATGCAGCGTTGACATATGTCTGGTAACAAAAGAAAGGGCAGTGATTGAAAAAGCCTTGGAGTCTTGCATTAAGCCGTTGGCCGAGGTCCAGAAGATTGTAGGCTGTGGAGAAAAGTCCAACAATCCGGTCTTTGTAGGCCTCCATTGCAGAATGATCGAAAAGGTAGAATGCCTGAAGATGGAGTCTTGCAGCCTGGAGATACCAAGACTCGGTGTCTTGAGAGGACGATGAGAAAATGCGGATATTTGCAAAACGTAGAGATTTAGTACTCACCGCATGACCCAGAACATTCCTTCTCAAGCTCATCCAAATCCAAGTTCAGTAGATGATACATCGTGGATCGTTCACGCGTCAGGGCGCCCTCGCCACCTGTCGGCATAGGTCTCGCCAACGATAAGGAGACACGAAGCCTGAACCGTTCTATTTGAAGGCGCAAATAAAAAGGTGACTCAGATGAAGAGGATTCAAACTGACTTGGTGATGGAGACTCGTATACCTGGGAAAATAGCGGTAGGCCGCAGCCAATGCTCACACTACTCGAAACGACTGTAGGTCAGTGAAGGTTCAAGGGTTTATTGGATAGAAATTAGAAGATGCTTAGTGCCAAGACTAACCTGATGGCTACAATGTTACAGGCCTCCCAGGTCTGCACCCATTCGGAATACTCGGACGTATCAAGCTTCAATGGAACTTTGGCAAAGTCTTGAGCATCGAAGGCACAATGAAGACCCATCTGTGTACTCATTTGGAGCATGATACCCACAAGCATAAACGTAGGGTCTGACGTGCTGCTGCTTGTGGGAAATGGCCAAGTACACAAGAGACATAGCGCACGAATGGTCGAGATGGAGTGTGACATAGACCGCAGGGTTTTCCACAACAGCTCCGTCACATTTCTAGCCAGTCTGGGTAGGAGAGTTGGCTGCGATTTGTGCCGTCTTGCTGCCACGGCCATAATCACCCAGAACAGCAGGTCCGATCTTTCATAGTATTCGTGGGGGCTTTTCCTCTCGTCGATGAGAGGAAGGTAAGGATGGTTGTGCTTGATATACCTAAGCCGGAAGAAAATAGATTGGTAAGGTGCAACAAAGAGATTTGTGCTAAAGGGCTGGCCAGTAATTTACTAACTTACATATTGAATAATTCGTCAATCTCCTCTATTTGAAGAATTATGTTACCAAGTGCTCGTGGCCGTGCTAACGGGAAAGTGGAGGCGTGATGCTGAGTTGGCGGTTCGATACCAGGACGAGTGGTGAGACATTGCAGATCCGCATCATTAGTTGTGGCATCTGGGAAATCTATAGATACAGGTGTAGAATCGGGTCTCACTGGGGAGAAATTGAGGCCAGTATCGGTCTGGTTCAGGGTATTAAACACGACACCAGGTGTCCCAACGGATGCTGGAACGGGCCAGTTGGTTCCGTTATGCTGGGATGAGGTTGATGTGTTGCTCTGGCTGGCTCGCAACTGCTCTCGTAAGCTCTGTATTTCACTTTCCAGGTCCGTTGGTTGCCTACGGATATGGTAAGAATGACCATTCGTCATAGTTTGCGCCTTAACTTGACTTTGACGTTACCTTCGTTTTCTAGTTCGACGAAAGCCATCGTCAATTCTACAAGCAAGTCCGAGACGTCTGCACCGACTACAATAATCCGACACCGTTAAAACTTGGGCAGAGGTAAGGTCACATCGAAGCTATGTAGATAATCAGCAACAAGTAGTGTGTTAAAAGTGTTGGAATGCGGGAGAGGGGCAGCACTTTTTGCTGTTTACAATCATTACACGCTTTTCGCCGACTGGACATCTTATCGGCCTGATCGGCACCGAACTCAGTTCGGCTAGATCCAGATTCCTCGTCTGTCCGTCTAGATAATTGCATCGGAGCGATAGTCTCCTCCGAGGAACCTATTTAGTATTTAGAGGCCGACGGAGGATTTGCAAAATTAGGAGGCGACTGGCAATAGGTCAATGATGTAAATTACGTGAGGCTGAGTAGGATGTAAAGGAGGACATTTCGGATGTCCGATGCGGCGGGGATGAAGTGATATTTAGCGCCTAACCCCAAGCCACTTATCGCTATGACGTGTTAAATTATGCCAAAACCCAGTAATCGTAAAAACACACATAACTCAATTATGAAACTAAGAATAACATATACAATAAGCAAGTAAATCACTCCACCTTTTACCTTAAAGGCAGGTTTTCAAAAGCATATAAAAAGCTTAATCTAAGCCTAAAATAACTAAAATTAAGATATATATTATTTAACTATATAATCTCTATAATATGTTTTTCATCGAGCTTTTACTTAATATAAGGTAAGGTTTTTTTTGCTATATAGTGTATTAATCCACTCGCTTATCTAATCCACCTGCTTATCGTATAGGTTACAGGCGTTTAATTTTAATAACGCAAGTAATTAACAAAGACAGATATGTCCCAGAATTTCACAATAAGAGCCAAAGCACTTTATATAAACTAGTATCCAAAAGGATCTCTATTAGCAGAAAGCTAAAGGGAAAAAAGTTTAGAATATTCTCATACTACTTCATAGCCTTAAGACTCTTCAGAAAAGCTTTTAAGCTCTACACCTTGCTATAGAGACTGCCACCTACAGTGTTATCCAGAGCCGTCGCTTGCTCCAGTCCCACGATAGTAAAAAGCTTCTTAGGGGTAAACTTTTTATCTAATCCAGTCCTTCCCGTCTCTTTGATCTGAATGAATACATCCTTAATAGCCTGGTAAGCAGGGCCGATGGATGCAAAAGGGAAGATAATTAGCTTGAACCCAAACTCCCTGGCTTCAATAGGTGTCCACGATGGAGTTGCTCCATGCTCGACCATGTTAAGCAGCATAGGCGTGGGGGCCATGATATTGCATACTTCCCGAGCCTCTTGCTCTGTAGTGATACCTTCGAGGAAGCCGACATCCGCGCCAGCCTTGACGGCAGCCTGGAGCCTGCGAATAGCCTCATCGAAACCATGGGTCTGTAGAGCATCGGTTCTGGCAATGATAACAATGTCAGAACCAAGGTCTCTGCGAGTTTTATAAGCAGCAGCGATGCGCTGTTCGAAGATGTTGATATCGACAACGGCCTTGCCGCCAAGGTGACCGCATCGCTTGGTCTGAATTTGATCCTCAATGTGGAGGCCAGCAACGCCGGAGCGGTGATATTGCGCAACGGTTCGAGCCACCATATTGGGGCCACCGTAGCCGGTGTCGGCATCAGCGATCAAAGGTACAGAATTGTCGAGGTTTGCGATCATTTCGGCGTGTTCGCGCATGTCGTTGAGGGACGCGAAGCCAAGATCGGGCTGGCCAAGCTTGGATGCGACAGTGCCAGCTCCGGTCTGTATCGCCATATTAGCGTTAATGAAAATTACTTGAGAGGTTAAGAGCCTGTCTTACCATGTAGAGGCACTCAAATCCCACCTCAAGTGCAATGCGTGCACTGAAACCTTCGTAAACACCCGGTGCGATCAGAATCTCGTTGGATTCCAGCCTCTGACGAAGTTTGGTAGCGCTGGAGATAGATGAGGCATTGTGCCCATTGCTGTGACCGTTGGTGCTCCCGTTAGTGTGAGACATGTTGATAGATGTTGGTTTCTGTGATTTCCTGTTTCTAGATCGACTTGTATGGTATAGCTGTTGTTTTGTTGTGATTTTTTATTCTATCATTGAGCAGGCTCCTGCAATTAAATAAGTCATGAAATGAACCTTTCGTTAAATTATCACAATAGTAGCATTCCGAACCGGCGTAATACCCACATGTCCGATCGGACTTCTGCAAGTCCGATCAGTCAACCTTCCACCACCCATTCTCTGCAGTCCGACCGGCGTCCATCGCTCATTGTCGGACTACCAATCCCCGCACTCTTTCTAATCCTGCATTAGACTGCCCCAGATCGAATAATCTGGGGCCCCGCACGCTTCTGCCCATGCCGATGCGGGATTGGGAAAGAGCGGAGGTGAGAATCGCCTGTAATGTTGATAGGTATATGAACCAAGCATCCCTGAATCCAAGAGATCATCTTGTCTACATCAGTGCGATAACCTCTTCAGCAAGTTCATCAAAATCATCCACTTTGTTCCATCACAGACAATTCAATCCATCGTCGTTATTAACATGTCGCTGAAGAAGACTACCTCTTCTGTTCCCCAAGACAATCATCTTTCTGTTCATGACAAGATGCAGGATGAGGAGTACCATCTTAAGGGTGCTCCGTCAGAGATGGGCGTTGCCGATCATGAAACTCCTGAATGGAAGCAGAGCGAGAAAAAGCTTGTTCGCAAGCTTGATATGACACTTATGCCCATGGTTTGGATTCTTTATATGTTCAACTATCTCGACAGGAACAACATCGCGTCAGTGTCCATCTCCCCTGCGTCCCCTTTCCTGGTTCATCAACTGGACAAGGACTAATCTTGTTCCGCGCATAGGCAGGCACGACTTGACGACTTCGAAGCAGACCTCGGTCTCGTCAACAATGAATTCAACATCGCAGTATCTATCCTCAATGTTGGCTACATGCTCGCGCAGCTTCCTTCCAACATGATCCTTACAAGAGTTCGCCCTAGTATATATTTGCCTTGCTGTGTCATCGTATGGTCATGTGTCTCCGCTGCCACTGCTGGGGTGACCAGCTTTTCCGGTCTAATCGCCGTACGATTTGTTCTTGGTATTGTCGAAGCACCATTCTTTCCAGGTGTAAGTCGCTTATCCGATTTGGGTCCCAGCATCAAGCTCTAAAGTCCAGCACTGACATTCGGATGCGGTGACAGGCTTTCTTCATGCTTTCTTCCTGGTACACTCGAAAGGAGCTCGCCCTTCGCACTGCCGTCCTCTATTCAGGTCTTGTCATAGCTACGGCCTTCTCCGGCCTTATTGCAGCAGGCATATTCGCGGGTCTATCAAATACCGCCGGTCTTCATGGCTGGCAGTGGCTCTTTATCCTGGAGGGTGCCGGTAGCGTTGTTGCCGCCATTTTAGCCTTCATCCTGCTTCCGGACTTTCCTGAGTCCACAACTGGGAGTCAAAAATGGCTCTTGACAGAACAAGAGCGCCAGGTAGCTATGCAAAGGATTGGGCTGGATCGCGTGTCTCTGCCCGAAGCTGACCGGTCTGTCTGGCACGGTCTTCGTCTTGCTGTTAAAGATGTTCGGACTTGGATTTTTGTAGGTTTCCAAGCCCCGCCTTGAATAAGAAAGAACCGGTTGACCAATCCTTCACAGGTTGTCATCTTGTGCGCCAATCACACCGCATATGGGTTCAACAACTTCTTCCCCACGTCAGTACCAACACTTTTTTTCCACCATCAAAAACAGTATGGTCCGGTCTCTAACCTTTTAGGTCCATTAGTATCGTTCGTTCCATGAATCTCGGTAACCGTACCATCACACTAGTCCTTACAGCTCCTCCATATCTGTTCGGTGCCGCTGTTTCCTTCTTGGTGGCTTATTCAAGTGACCGTTTCAACGAGCGCGGATACCATATCAGCGTTCCCATGGTCTTCGCCATCATAGGTTTTATCCTTTCAGTGGCAACCCTCAACAATTCCGCTAGATATGCTGCATCATTCTTCTACTGCGCTGGTGCTTTTGCTGCCAACGCCGCAGTTTATTCGTGGGCAGCCTCTTCGTTGAACCAAACGCCTGAAAAAAGAGCATGCTCGACTGCTATCGTGAACTTGCTCTCGCAACTAGGCAACATTTGGAGCCCTTACTTCTTCCCTGCATCACAAGGGCCACGATACGTCATGGCTATGCTGCTTATGATGGCTTTCTCCGCACTCAGTATTTTTGGATCCCTATTGATGAAGTTCCTGCTTAAGAAGGATAACAGAAGGCTGCTGACTGAAGCAGAGCAGTCTGGTAGGACTGTTAAGCTTTATACTACCTAAGTCTGGTATTTTCAATATCATTAATTTATATATCTCTACGACATTAAGTAAATAGAGCTTAACATATGTAAACATTAGACTTCTATAATAATTGCAGATGCACTATTGCAATTACAGCCCACTAAGATAATTTAGATTTAAAGATGTTGGAAATTGTCAAGTTAATTGAGCCTTTATTAAAGCTTATTAAATATATCTTTTATATAAAATTTATTTTCTTAATGTAATAACTAAAGTTATAAGAGCTTTTTCTTAATATTAATTAAGACTTAAATAATATTAAGATAAATATATATAGGTTAACTATAAATAGGAAGAGGCTGAACCCGACAGATCCGGCTGATGGACAAGGTAGATGCCTCAGGCACCTTCAATAAACAATTCAGTTCCGTTCCCAAAGAGGCTAATATTTGGACAGTTGAGTCCCGTTCCTAAAAAGGCATAGCAGAATTCTCCGCTCATCTCGATTGACCGCAGGAAGGAGAGATTTGCTAACTATAGTGATACTTTACTTTTAATTTGTAATAAATTTGGCGGCGCTTTTATTGCCCGGCTTTTCGTTGGTTGGTGGAGCAATTTACCTTAAACTCTATTCGTTCGGCCCGACCGGGCGGTCCCTTGCAAATCATTCTAAGATCTGATGATCCTCCTTTAAGTCTTGTCTATATTACGAGTTTCAGGTGGCATTCCTATGTCATAAGACGCGTAACGAGTCCTGCTCCACTTATTTGTGACTGTGGTTCCGTTTTGAGTCCGGGGCAGGTATTTCCGTTACTGGAAGTCTAATTTTCTGTTGTACAACAACCAGAAATAATATATAAGACATAAATCTAAGTATCTAACTATTAATTAGTCTACAACACACACCTCGATTAATCAACTATACAACACATTTCATCTAAATCATCTCCTTGATACCAAAGTGTTTACCAAGATGCAGCTCAGCAGCCTCCTTACTGTTATTTCCCTCGTCTCTGCTTCTCTCGCAGCTACCGGTGACCGTGGCAGTTACACTGTTTCTGGCCTTGGTGCCCGCAAGCAGGCTATCTTGAACGCTGGAGGCAACACTCTTGACTTGGCTATTGCCATGCTCGAGGATGAACACATGTCAACGGACTACAAGTATGGTAAGGAAACCCAGCTGCAAAGTTGGATCTACTGACTGGCGTACTAAAATTCAAATTTCCATAGGCGACGGCAAGACTCTCGATGCGGCCAACTTTGGCTTGTTCAAGGTTAACTGGGGAATGCTTCGTGTCTGCGCCAAGCGAGCTGGATTTGTAGGACAGTCCGAAAGTCAGTGGGAGAACGGTGCTAAGCTCAAGTAAGTGGTGTTGGAATAGGCATGCGTCACGTTTACTGGCTAACTGGCGGCTCAATTCACTCACAGCTCTGATATCTACGCTGATGTTGCCTCCCGTTGGGATTGCCAGGAATACTACGGTTACGATAAGTGGTTTGCCGGTCACCGTAACGGCGCTACTGGCTTATCGAACCCCAACACGGAGGATATTCGATTCTACCGTGAGTCTGTTGAGTGGATCCAGGCGCAAATCGATTCGAAGTCTACTTACAAGACTGATGACACTCGCTTTTGGGTTGATGTTAACCCTATCTAAGTCAACATGTCGGTGTGTGCTAAGGTCAAGGTGCTAAAATAGGACTAGTATATCTAAATACTACCTTGTAGGTGTACTTTAGTGTGTGGTCTTACTGTTGGCAATGTTTAGTATGTGGCTCAAGCTATCCATCGTGTAGTTAAGGGGAGAGGAGGATAGAGATAGACAAGGGCTTTCCCACTATAGTAGGAACTGGAATAGCTCTTATAGTACAGAAACTAGGGTTAGATCGCCCAACGGCGCAGGTAGCCAAATTGATTACAATTAGAGAGATAACAGCCTAAGATATATAGGACTTATCTCTTTTTTATTTTCTTTACTTTAATTTATTCTATCAAGCCAGCTTCAACTGGCACAGAACGGCCTGATTCCTATTGACGGGACTTCCTGGGCTACACACTACGGTGAAGTTATGCCAATCACGGGTCAGGTCAACATCTAGTCCTTTCACGGCATCATACCGTTGCAGCATTCGGACAAGAACATACCCGGCCTCCGTCAACGCGAGCTGCTGCCCGATGCAGATCCTCGGACCTCCATTAAACGGTACGAAATGCCATGCGGCGCTCGCGGCTCCCCTCTTCTTCTCCCACCGCTCAGGAACGAAGTCGTCCGCGTCCTCCTCGCCCCAGAGGTCTTTACGCCTGTGGAGCACGTGCGTGCTGAAGTTGACCTCTGTTTCTTCAGGTATAAAGATGGGACTCTTTCCGTCCGGCCCGCCGCCCATTGGGAGGATCGTGTCGCGGAGCGCTCGGCGGGAGTTGAAGGGTACAACGGAGTGTAGTCGCAGGGTCTCGGAGAGCACGTGCTGAAGATATGTGCATTCTTTCAACGAAGCAAACGTCATCGTAACCGAAGGGCCATCAGGGCTGCAGCCAAAGGTAGAAATGATCTCGGAGCGAAGTTTTGCGAAAACACGAGGGTTACGGAGAAGGCAGTACCATTTCCAACTCATCAATGAGGCCGTGGTATCTCGTCTCGCGGCGAGAAGCCCAAGGACTTGTTCCCTGACCTCTTCATCGCCACCGCTACATCGCTCGTGGAGGACATTAAGAAAGTCATATAGTGCCTGGGAAGAGCCCTCCTTTTTGGCCATATCTGAGGCGGTAATAGCACTGTCGACAAAAGCATGTAGAGTATCCACGCATGAACACAGCTCGCGCGTGCCGTAGAGCCAGTAGAAGCTGCGTAGGCGGACGCGCGTGCCGAGGACAGCCACCATGCGCTCAAAGGCGTGATGGAACTCCATTCCAGGGTGGGAATCGTCTCCATCAAGAGATGCTTGGAGGGTGGATGAGCTTTGACCGAGGAATAGTTCCGTCGCATAGTCCAATGTGAGAGACGGGAGTAACGCGGCCAGGCTGACGGGCCCAGTCCAGGTGCCGTCCGCAATGGTTGAACTCTTCTCCTTCTCGATTCAGCGAAAAAAAGTCTGAACGTGTTCTTCAAAGAGGTCAAGCCGCGATACGTTGTCACGACTGAATCATGGCCTCATCATGTCTCGTGCCGCGCGCCAGGACGCACCATCGGCCGCGAAGATGCTTCTACCCAACACAGTCTTCAGATTTGTACTTCGCGTGGCGTCCATGCCAAAGTCGTTGAACTGAGATGCCAAGATTGCTTGAATGTTGCGAGGGTCCGCGGTGACGAGGTTGGTGGTGCCTAAGATGGACATACGGAAAGTGTAAACGCCCAGGGCGGCGAAGCGGTTGGCGACGTGGTCTGGTGTGCGCTGGTCACGGTCTGCGCGGAGGGAAGCGAGGAGTGTGTCAATTCCAAAGGGTAACTTGGATAGCTCAAGGGGCACTGGAGGACAGCCTCGTTGTCGAGCCCTATGAGCACGGGGTACATTTTTACACATCAATTTGAGCAGATGGATCGAGAGGGGACAGCTAGTAGCAAAATGTACAGCGGGATGCGCTCAAAAAGCTTCTCAATAAAAAATGGAATCATGGGCAAGCTAATGGCCTTGTCAAAGATCTTTCCGAAATAGAAGTCCATGGTTGTCTGTGGTTGACCACCTCAGTTGCCAGACCATAGACTCCTCTCCGGTTCCTTTTCATCGGCGATAGCGTTCGATGTAAAATGGTGCCTTTGTGGTCATATACGTTGTTGCGCCTAGGGCTACGGATCTCTCCCTTCATCTCGGAATCGATCCTACGATGGATGCGCTTAGATGCATCTGCCGAGCCATTGTAAGGCTACGGCGGCAATTCCATATTCTTCGACCTCACCATGCGCGCGGTCTGGTATCTGTCACATACATACAAATCTTCACTCTCACCAGCCATGAATCACGAGCTTGCCCTTGAGAATGAGAGATACGCGCAGTCTTTTGCTCAGGCCAAGGAAAACTGCCAAAGACCGGCGCGAGCCTTCCTGTATGACACCGTGGAAACTATCGGCATGCACTACGGCACGACCTTCCGCAACATGACCGAGCTGTTTGCAGGGCCGAGTGCCAGTTACGGCGTTATAAGTATCCCCGACACTAAAGCCATCATGCCTATGGGATTCGAGTATCCCTTCGTGGTCCACCCAGCCACGCTCGACTCCGCCCTTCACCTTCTGTTCCCATCTATCAGCGGTGAAGACCAGTCTCTCAATGAGGCAGTCGTACCCTTCTCGTTTGATCGCATCTTTGTGTCAGCAAAGATCTAAACAGTTCCGCGCACCAGGTTTCATGGTTATTCCACGGCTCAGAGGACCAGCTACAATACATGGAAGTCGTCCATTACTATCTCCGAGGACCTTTCAGAGCCTATGATTATCGTGGAAGGTATTTCTTTAGCATCGGTTGGTGATGGCGGCAGCACGCAACAGCCTGGTCAAGACGCCAGGGCCAGCTGCTTTACCAAGACTTGGCACGAGGACGTGGACCTGCTCGAGCCACTGCAGATCAAAGACCTGGTCTACAAGCGAACTCTCAAGAGCCAGGATGACGAATCTGTTCTTGACTACCTCGAATTTGTCTGCCTTGTTTATGTCTACCGCTGTCTTGCTTGGTTCGAGAGCGAGGAAGGCAAGGCGCATGTGCCCCAGGACGGGTTCTGGAAGCTCTATGTCGAGTGGATGCGCAACACCGTCAAGGAGTTTCCCCCTCTTCCAACTACTGAGTCCCAAGTTACGTCTGAAATGGAATCCTCGCGTGCAAGCATCGTCCTCTCCAAGAGCGGCGACGTAACGGTTCAGATGGTCGACCGAATCGGAGATAACCTCAGCCGCATCTTCACTCGTGAGGTCGAGCCTTTGCAAGTCATGACAGAGGGTGATCTATTGTATGACTTTTACCGCGGCGCATTTGGCACGAGTTTTAACACTCACGTCGCTGAATATGTGGGCTTGGTCGCTGACAAGAGCCCTGGTGTCAAGATCCTGGAGATTAGCGCTGGCACTGGTGGGACGACGTACCATGTGTTGGAGCGACTTCGCAATGCTGACGGAACTTCCAAGGCTGCCAAGTACTCTTTTACAGATATTTCTCCAGGATTCCTCGCCGAGGCTGCCGATCGCTTTTCCGCCGACGCATCCATCATGGAGTTCAAAGCTCTCAATATCGAGAACGAGCCTACCGAGCAAGGATTCAGCCTGGAGAGCTATGATCTCATCATCTGCGCCAACGTTCTTCATGCCACCAGGAGTATTGAGGAGACGCTTACCCACTACAAGTGTCTGCTTAAGCCCGGCAGTCGTCTCGTGCTGTCCGAGGTCACTATTAAACGAATCTTCAGTGGCTTCATCATGGGGCCCCTCCGTGGTTGGTGGCTCGGCGAGGACGATGGTCGCTCTGGCGGACCTCTCCTGGATGTTGATGAGTGGTCGGCGGCGTTGACCAGCGCCGGTTTCTCTGGCGTCGATATCGACATTGTCGGAGGCAATGAAGCCTTCAAGGAGCCGGTGTCGCTGATTATCTCGACCAAGCCATGGCAGAAAGCATCGGGGCCTGATTCCTTCGTTATCATCAGTACAGGTTCTGTCTCTTCGCAGAAACTCGCGCAATCCATCCAGAAGCAATTTGAGTCTTCAGGTCACGATGTCTCCATCACACAGTGGGATGATGTTTTCAAATCTCGTGTGACCGGAAAGTATTGCCTCTGCCTTGCCGAGTGGGAGGACGCTGTGCTCGCGACTCTGACGGATGAGAACTGGGGAAGACTCCGCCAGATTATCCGGAGTTCTTATGGGACACTCTGGATTACCGGCGGCGCTGCTATGGACTGCCCTGACCCGATGAAGTCTCTCATGGTTGGGCCTTCGCGGGCGATTCGCAATGAGGATGTTGGAGTCCGCCTGGCCACCCTCGATTTTGAGACAGCGGATAGAGTCGACTTTGTGAGAGCAGCCAAGATTGTCCTCAAGGTGGCGTCAATCCACGCCTTTAGTGATGAGTCTGACGGCGAGTATGCTGCCCGCGATCTCACCGTGTACGTGCCTAGAGTGGAGAGGATTCTCGACGTCGGCAACTCTCTGCGTAAATATGAACGTAAGGGCCAGCCTGAGCTTGTGTCGTTCAGGAGGAGCGGACGTCCACTGAAGCTCACCATTAAGGCACCTGGCCTCTTGGATACCTTCAGATGGGACGAGGATGAGATCTACCACCAGCCTCTGCCTGAGGACTGGGTCGAGATCGAGGTGAAGTCTGTAGGCCTTCACTTCAAAGTTGCCCTCGTCGCGCTAGGAAACCTTGCTGAGGACAAGCTGGGAGTCGATGCCTCTGGAGTCATCACCCGCGTGGGATCAGCCGTCAGAGATTTCAAGCCTGGTGACCACGTCATGACGGCTTCATGCGCCACCTTTGCTACCTTTGTTCGATTCCCGGCTAAGGGAGCTATCCCCATTCCTGCGCATATGAGTTTCGAGCAGGCTGCTTCGATGCCCTTGATCTTTCTGATAGCCTATTACTAGCTCGTAACCGTTGGCAACCTCATCAGGGGTGAGAAGATCTTGATACATGCCGCCGCTGGAGGTGTCGGCCAGGCTGCTCTCATGATCGCTCAGCAGAAGGGAGCCGAGATCTTCGCGACAGTTGGTTCAAAAGAGAAACGGCAGCTTGTCAAAGATCGTTATAGTATTCCTGACGACCATATCTTCAGCAGTCGCGATACTAGCTTTTCAAGGCTGTCAATCGTGCCACCGAAGGGGAACGCGTTGATGTTGTGCTCAAATCTCTTGCTGGCGAAGCTCTCCGCCTTTCCTGGCACTGTCTCGCGAAGTTTAGTCGATTTCTTGAGATTGGAAAGGCAGATCTTTTTGCCAACACCGGACTGGATATGAAGCCATTCCTTGATAGCAAGACCTATATAGGTGTCAACCTCCTCGATTTCGAGAACAATCCCACACCTCGTGCGGTGGCGCTTTGGAAGCAGACTGCAAGACTTATCCATGATGGTACCGTCAAGCCCATCGCCCCTCTGCAGCTCTTCAGTATGGCCGAAGTTGAGAAGGCATTCCGCCACGTGCAGGCCGGCAAGCACATGTGTAAGGTTGTCGTAAGTGTTAAAGACGATGACATGGTCCCTGCCATGCCCCGAACACCTCATGTGAACATTCATGCCGACGCAACCTATGTCGTTGCCGGTGTCGGCGGTATCTGCAAGGAAATTGGCCGGTGGCTCGCTAAGAAGGGCGCCAAACATCTGGTCCTGCTTTCACGTTCTGCTGCCAGCAGCGAAGTGAACAAAGCCTTTGCGTCGGAGCTTCAGACAGCCTACGACGTGAAAACCTACAGCTATGACTGCGACGTCAGCCACAAGGCAGATCTCTCCGAAGTTCTGCATGACCTCAAGTCAAAGAATCTTCCCGAGATTAAGGGTTGTGTTACTGGTGCCATGGTTCTGAGGGATACTCTATTTGACAAGATGATGGCCGACCACGTCCGGACAACAATAGGACCCAAGGTCCACGGTACCTGGAATCTTCACGAATTGCTTCCCAAGGATCTCGATTTCTTCGTCATGCTCAGCTCTCTGACCGGTATTATGGGTCACCACGGGCAGGGTAACTACGGCTGCGGCAACATCTTCCAGGATTACTTCGCCGCCTTCCGACGGAGTCAGGGCTTGCGCGCTATGACCATTGACATTGGATACCTCTTGAGTGTAGGATTCGTAGCCGAGCATGACGAATATGTCGACCACGTCAAGGCCATGGGTCTGAAGGTCATGCACAAGAGCAATCTGCACGGCCTTATGGCCACGGCTCTCGAAGGCTCCAACGCCCACCCGCCGCAAGTCATGTGCGGCCTTCCGTACAACGAGCAAGACGACGCTTGGTACTGGATTCATGACCAGCGGTTCACGGCTCTCAGGAAGACTGCAGCTGGCTCTGGAGTTGGAGGGTCCGCGTCTGTGTGACTCCGTGATGAACTTGTACGTTGCGGTCAGATGGGCGATGAGGCTGTGCATTTAATTACGTCGGCTCTGGCACAGCGCCTTGCTAAGTTGATGATGATACCAGAAGACGACATTGATACAGGGAAACCGCTGAGTTCATATGGTGTAGATAGTCTGGTTGCCGTTGAAGTCAGAAACTGGATTGCAAAGGAGGCTGTGGTGGAAGTCAGCGTGTTCGATGTCATGTCCAATATCCCTATGCGCCAGCTAGCAGCGAAAAGTAAGATACTAGCTTAGAAGGTATAATAAGATAAGACCTTAATACTAATAGGCTATTATCATAGGCAAGGTAAATATCTCTGCTTAACTTAACCTAGTAGTTTTTCCTGAATATATTATGTAATAATAGCTTTTAATTATTTGTAGCTAATGTTATATCTCTTAATAAAAATACTAGTAGTAATTTAACTTAAATTACTATTAAGGATTTCTAATATAAATTAATAAATAAATAAGAATATATATAGAGAGTAATCTGAGATATAAGTAAGGGGGCTAAACTACTAGTAGTAAGTTTTTATTTTATGTAATAGCTAATAAAAATATTAAAAGAGGAATCTAAAATTAGAGAAAATATTTAAAAAAAAAAAAACTTCCTAGGGATTAAAAAAAAATATATATCTTTATGTTTTTTTAGTTTTTTTTCTTTTTATAAAATGAATAAGTAAAACATATTATAATAATTATAATAAGTATCCTAAGGTAAGAGGTCTAGCCGTATTAATAGAGTTAAATAAAACAGTGATTATCCCCGTATTTTTGGCAGAGCTGGAAACTTAGTATAAATTTGCCGTGATTTGCGGTAAGTCGATCACGGATTACCAGTCACTGATGCCTTGTCGGGACTCACGCTAGATAGTCGGGCGTGACTTAATTTGTTGGGCTTATTCTGGGTGTTTTATGCCGTGTTTTGCTTTCAGCATAGGTACGTGGTCGTGTTCAGAATCAACGTCTGAAGTGGCCATTTCAAAAAGAAAAGACAAAGGAGCTCGTGGAGGAGTTGGAAAGGCAGAAAGGCGCATTCACTTTGGCGCTATCGATTGACAATTCGTAATTCTCTACAGATACCACAGAACTCTGAACTGGCGTGCTGATCATTTGTACAGGCACTCACTGAACGACCTTCGCCATGGTTTTGCATCGTTCGTCCAGCAGAATGAAGAACGACGAAATGGTGGGTGTATCCCTCTGGATCTACTTCTATATCAAGAGATGGACTCCAACTGATCGCATTAGATAAACAACTGAAACAGGTCCTCGAGCTGCTGTGCTTAGTAGATATTAAGAAACACCATATAAATACCAGCATTATGTAATAGCCCTAGCTATATTATAATATTATTATATATGCCCCGTTTAGCACTATAATTATAGGGTTATTAATAACATTATATAGGATAAGATGGCAAAGGAATTAAATCTACTAGCTATTCTTTATATTATAGGATTATCTTATAGCTAACTTAGATTTATAAATTTATAATTATATAATATAGTTAATAAGTAAGTATAATAGATAAGTAAGTATAATAAAAATTCTAGCCTTTAAACTTTAAATTAATTTAAAAATACTACTAATTATTTAATTAATTAAAACTAGTTATTATACTCTTCTCTAAATATCTTAATTATTATCTAATAGGTCTTTATATTATATTTAGTCTTATTATATATATTATAGCACTAACTACCTAATTACTTTAACCTTCCTTAATTATTACTTCTTAATAATTCGGCTACTACTTATATATTAATATTTATCTAATTAATTACTTATAATACTTTCTATATAGTTATAATTTCTTCTTTCTATAATTTAATCCTTTTTACCTTATAGTATTAACTTAGTATTTTATTTATATTTTAAAGATTTTAGACCTTAGCTTTTAATAGTATATTCTTATATATTATAGCTATTATTCTTTTTATAAGAGACTTTAAGGCTTTTAATATTAACTTTAGGGAGCTATTATAATAATATTTAATTTAATTACTAAGGTATTTAAATTAAGATTAAGTCTTAATAATTATTTTTAAGGTCTTTAAAGCCTATAATATTAATAATTTAATAGCCTCCTTAGGAGGCATTAGGGTTTATAATTATATATTAAGCTTTAAGATTATAATTTTTAGGTTAAGAGAAGTAAGCCTAGCTCTTTTAAAGCCCCCCTAGATATTACTTTTTATAAAAGTAATTTTAAATATAATATAAAAGGTAAAAGAAAACTTAATCTTAAAAATATAAGTTATAAAGTATTGAATTAAATACTTTATTTTTTAATTATAAGCCTATTTTAATAGCCTAAAGTATTTAATATTAAGAGGCTAAAGTAAATAAGATATATAAGTAGGTATATAAAGTATTATAATTTTATTCTCCTTATAATATCTCTTAAAATTAGCTAAGTAGTAGCTTTTATAATTATTAAGAATTAAGAGATAATACTAAGTATTTAATTATTTAATTATAAACTAATTAAAGTACTTTAGCTACTTAAGACCTAGCTTATTATTTATTTACCTATTTTAGCTTATTATAATAACCTAACTGCTAAGGAGGTTATATTCTTAGTATTAATTAATAAGATAATATTAGCCTATACTAATAATAAATAATATAATTAATTAACCTTTTATATTAATTACCTAAATTATAATAATTTATTCCTGGTTTTCAGGCTATATTAATTTTAGCCTTTTTTATATTTTTAAACCTATAATAGCTATTTTAGCTATAATAAGGCCTATTATAAAGCTAGTCTTATTAAAGTTTTAAATATTATCTAATTAAATATTATACTTTATAATTATATTTTATATAAGCCTAAACTAATTATAAATAATAATTAGATCTTTATATTTAGCTCTTTAATAATTATATCTCTAAAATAAATATATCTTTAGCTTTAGTTATTACTTTATAAAGTTATAAGCCTAGTACTTATTAATAGGTAATATATTATAATCTATAAGTAAAGAATTAATTATTTCTTCTATAAAATATAATTATTAGGGAAATCCTTATAAATCTAAGTTAAGAATAAATTAGATTATTATTTATTCCTTTAAATTAATTAATTTCTATAACTTCTAGATAGTATTATATTATAATTAAATACTAGCTTAGCGGCAGTATAGCTTCTAAAGGTTAACCTTATATATATTTAGAGTATATTAAAGGCTTAATTTTTAGTTATTTTAAAGGGCTTAAAGGGTAAGAAGGATTCTAGCTTTATCTAATAATTAAGATATATTTAATAGCTAAGAAGTATTTAATTAAATAGAAATATTATAAGGTAAGGGATTTTTATTATACTTATTTATCTATTATACTTACTTATTAATTATATTAGCAGTTAATAGATTTATCTTAAACTCCTAAGGGCAGACTATTTAAGAGCTAGTAGTAATAAATAGGTTATAATATTTATTATAAACTTATAAAGCTTAGATATTATCCTACTAAGATACTCTTAAAGTATTTTAAAACTTTTTATAGCTATATAGCTAGATATTTTCTTATTACTTTTTAGGTTAATTAAAAGTATCTCTAGGGAGGATTATTTTATAATTAATTTACTTAAAAGGTAGGGTTATTAATATTATATATTATAAGGCAATATAGCAGATTTACCTAAATAGAGGTTTGGCTTTATAGAGATAATAGAATTTATAGTTATAGATTGTGACGGTTGGTTTCCAACTGTGGATAAACTAAGCCGTGCTAGGTTTATTGTTGGCAGATTGCGTAGGGCGTGTAACTGAGCTTGTCGAAGTGTCA